TGACACAACAAGCCTGTACAGCGCCCACAATAACAAAAAAAAAAAAAAAAAAAACCCGGAAGACGCGATCATTCAAGCAATGTTTACGTGTTCCTGTGTGGGATTTCACCACCGGGTGTCGATTTACAGAACAGAAGTGAAACACAGCCCAGTGTTTACGGCAGCAGGCAGAGGCAGGGTGAGAAAAAACGTCACAAATGAGGGAAGTGATCTGAAGCTTTTACAAAGAGGTTCAGTGTTTTCTTTCTCCCTTTGCAGATTTGATTATTCAGGCTGTGTAGCTGCTTAATCAGGCTGAAGTCCTTTGAGTGGCAGCTCTGTGGCTGTGGGCTCAGGTCTCGACTTGACCTGAGAGTTCAGAGGAAAAAGCTGAAAAAATAATTGTGATCTTGATAATTTATATATATATATATATATATATACTGTATATATTGCGTGGATGCGTGCATTTTATAAATTATATTCTGTCCTTCCAGTTTCGGCTGTGCTCTCAGCTTTTTGAACTTGCTTTCTATCGTCACTGTTTTATGTACTGCTGTCACATCTTAACAATCGGCTGACGACCTTAAAGAGAAACTGTAGTTAAAATTATGTCATTGTAGGAAAACAGTGGAATAATTTGAGTTATAAGCAAGCTAGAAAGATAAGATATAATTATGGGTTATGCTTTTGTCTTTTAAGGGTTTTACATATTAGGACATGGGGACAGGTGTCCAATCTTTTACCAGGTTATTACTTAAATGTACAAAAGACATGATACCGATTCTACTGTATCTTTGTTTTGTAAACCAAAACACTGACAAAATGTAAAGGCTGGGTGAAAAAAAGACACAAGTCCACCTTATGATTTAAAAGCTTGCAAACCCTCCTTTAGCAGTGACAACTTGAAGCAGTATTGTTCTTGAAGCATTACACAGTCTGAGTTCGGGGAGAATTTGCTGGAACGTCGACTCTTTGGAAAATCAGCAGCTGCTCAAAGGTTTTCCTCTTGCAAAAACAATTGTTTAAAAATAAATAGATTGATGGGCAGCAACTATCTAAAGAGTCATTGTTGATGTTGTTCTTTATTGACATTGTTTTAACACATGTGTAAAAGCCAGAGAATTAATTGATAATCCTCCTRCTTCATGAAGAGGTACACATGTGTATAATCAGATTAACCAATACATTTGATCAGCAGCCTCTGGTTCTTACTTTTCCTCATAAATCTTATAGAAGTAGCAGACAACTTCTTTTTCCACACAGTTTTCTTTCATTTGGCTTCATCATTGTTCAATATGTAATGACATGCTAGAAACTGTTGCATGTTTTTTCTACACTTGAAGTTAGATTTAAATAGTTTTAGAACCTGGTAAAGATCAGATCATTGTTATTATGTCCTGATACAGAAAATAAAATAAATGGTGGACTTTCTTTGTTACCCTGCAGCTGATACTCAAACTTTGGAAAAGGAAAATCAGAGCAAACTCTCCCTCCTGGACTAATTGTAATTAATTTGTTCAAAAAAAAAACATTTGTCTTTACCTTCTGTTGAAATGTGCATTGCTCTTAAAAGCATCAATACCAAATGCATCAACCTTAAGGTCATCACTGAGTCTGTGTCTCCAGACAATCTGATAAGAAGACAGCCAAAGGCATCAACTTCTACTAAAAACATGTAGTATAACTTTCCCTGGCATTAACATCAGAGGTAAAAGCTTCATAAGCACATYGTACAGCTTGTAGTTCTTGGCATTTAGCACTTTGCCATTTTTACACTGAGAGTGATGGTTATGGAATATGAATGCTCAGTGACACGATGACCCAGCAAAATGACACGTCCCCCCTTCCTCTGCCCCCCTGCTCACAAAACCACACAAGCAATAATCATCTCCAAAGTACCTGCTGAGTTCACTTTTTACTTTATGGAACATGTAGCTGATGTGAATGTTGTGACATTTTAGCATCTAAGGCATGAAAAAAAGTTKATCTTTTTTCAAATGTTGGCTGTTGTGATCAAAATTTGCTTTTAAATTTTATTTTAAATTGCTGCATCTCCAAAGATAATGCCTAAATATAGTCATTTTATTCCCTTTTTGTTTAAGTTTCTAATCAGAGAAAAATAAAAATGCTCAATGTTGTAAGTGGCTCATTGATAATAAGAAAAAAACTGATGCTCAGAGCTGAAGAACTTTCTGAAGCAAGCCATGACTGGACAAAAAAGGCACAAATAAAGAAAAAAAATGTTTAAGTGATTTGATATTTGAACCTGAGAGGATCATACTGTATAACAGATAAAAAATAAATAAAAATGCATGGCTCGGTTATTCCAGCTTTCTGAAATCTTCCAATGGTACATTCAGTCTTATATGCAGGTACTCCTTTTCAGTCCAATTCACGCCTTCATGCATGTGAAAAAACATCCCATGATCTGTCAGTCAAGCAAAAAACAGGGCTATTCAACTGAGGACCAGTGGTCCACATCTGTCCCATGGGTGACTACTGTCTGGCACAGCCATTGAGCACTCACCCCCCAAACATATAAGCAATATATATAT